CGGTTTCTAAGACAGTTTGTGTATATTTTATTACTCTGAATTAAAGCAAAAAGATGCCACTACAGATTTGCTATGCTGAAAACTCTCCCTGTTGTGGTTATTTTACTACTGGTGTATCCCATTTGAGTACAGTTAAATGCATAAAATACAAAATGTTAAGTGCTTAAACCTCAGTTCTCTCTTTTGTGAGCCAAAATCATGCAATCAATAGCACGTTTTTTTATGCTTCCTTCTAGTTTTAAAATGTTTTTTAAAATAAATCAAAAGGTTGAATTACACCAATCCTTCATTAAACTGGAAATTGAGCCTAAAATAGTATTTATTAGAATCCATGCAAAACTAACAGTTATTTTACAAAGCAGCAGCAGTGGTTGCAAATGTTTGTCTGCCATCTAGTGGAATATGCAATAGTTTTCAGTAATATATATATATATATTTATCCTATTCCTTTGTGTTTTACAAATATTGTAAGTTCTTTAAAAAATTAATTTCAGAAGTATGAAAAGCATGAAGGATAATGGTACCATCCTCATAAAATTCTTCAACAAACTTTAATTGATGTAAAGACAAAATAGTCATATTTGTAGATGCAAAGGTCTGTAGCAAATCACGTTGTGTCAGCTGATTATCACAGAAGCTGGGATAGAAAAAGACGAATATGTTGAAAACAGGGCAAAACTGTTTTTTCTTCAGCCTGAGGATTTTTCCTAGAGATTTTCTTGCCAAAGCTAAACATACAGATGCCAAATGAGACTTGGATACATAGTATTTGACACAGCACATGACAGTAATACTAAAAAGCAAATAAAACTTGTATTTTAGGATGAATAATATTTTGGAATGAAGGACATCCCTGATATTTATGTGATAACTCTGCACACAAGATTGGCATACCTATGCCAATATATTGGATACCTACACTTCACACTGTAACACTCTAAAAGTATTTTAAGGATACAGAAATACAGAAGTTTGTGCACCAGGACAAGGAGCAGATTTGGCCATGCAGAACATTGTGCAACTCCATTCTCTCTGATAGTCGTGCACATATTAGGACCAATCAAAATATTTTTATCAAAACTGTTTCCAGGAGAAAAATGTGTTGCCAAGAAAACTCTTTATTGAATAGTGCCTGATTATCTTGGGGAAATATTGTAGAAATGATTGCTGAAAAATTGGAAGACATTGAAGCCTGACCCCCCTCTAAAGAGAGAATTAAAACTGAGGGGAAAGGAGAGAGGAAAATGGTGAATTGGGGCAGACGTAGTTGGCAGAAAACCCAACTCACAGATGAGAAATGGGAGCACAACACGTAGAATGAATGACTAATTATAACACTACTGAACAAAAACATTTGGAGCTTTAGTAAAATTATTTTCCTTTTTTATTTTAATTATTGTTACTTTTTAAATATTTTGATGAATAAAATGAAAAACCTATTTTAACTAGAGTGCCCTCCCATGAGAATGCTAAAGGATCTGCCCGAACAAAATCATGTCTTTATGTTCTCCATTCAGTCACAGTTAAGAGGAACAATGCCCATATATGTTGGTTCATGTCCTGTATTGCCATTTCACTAACTTCATTAACTTCAATAAAACTTCACAGGGTGCAAGTCAATACTGAATTTGGCACAACACATCTAAAAATGGAACAGCTGCTGCAAAGTCATCTGACCAGCGCATACAGAGAGCCACTGATTGACTAAGACTGGCAGCTTTATTACTGATGTCGTTCTTCACAGTAAAATGCATAGCCCGAGATACCATGCTAAAAATATAGGCCAGATTATCAGTCTGTGTATGCGCCATAGATATTTTTCTGCCTTCACTGTGAGTGCATTTGTCACAGAACATAGGAATAAATAGCTGTGCATGTACCTTGCTGAGTTGTTCCTATGCCTGAGATGATTGATTTCACCTGAACAGTGAAGCTAAACAAAACATTCTTGAATTAGAAAAGCACTTGATCGGAAAAGAGCCCAAGTTTTATTTCACCCTGTATCCCTGTACATACAATATCCTATACAATTCAGACTGTATCTTGTATTTTCCCTAAGAGAATAGAGATGCTTCTTTTAGTATGTCCTAGGAAACGTTTGGCCAGGTATTTTTCTTTGCATATTTACTTCAAAATGTGTAAGATCAGCATACGATTCTCCTTTAAATCCCTCATTAAATTTTATGTATGACAGAGTACTGTATTTGCAAGTGATTAATATTTTTCCTTAACTTTTCTCTTGCAGCATTTACATCTCATAAAGTCTTGACCTTTATATGTAAGGTGCATATTATTGTAACATCCTGGGGTTTTCACAGCTGTTAAACCACAAACAGTAAATAACCACCTGTGGCTCATGACTGGCTTTGAGTTCAACACAAGTTCACTGGTCACAGGAATGAGACTATTTCTCTGTCCTTGATTAGCTGTACCCTCCCAAAATTGTAATTCATCCTGTTCACAATCATCTGCCCCTGTAAACTGGCTTGGGAACAAAACCAGAAGGTGTACCAAGCAGCTTTCCGAGGAGGCAAGAAGAAATGTCATGAGGAGCTTTTCTGGGAGCCTGGGGAAGTGGGATGGAGCAATAGCTGATGACTCAGCTCCTTCAAGTACTGTCCTCACAAGCTGCGCCAGCGGGCAGCGATGGCAGAGGGTTGGGCGGCCCCACTCTTACCACTGCCAGCTTCAAGGCCAAAAAACCACTGGAACGGCCCAAAATGGTTTAGCTCGGCCATCCCAGGCTTTCCTTGGATGAGAGTTCCCCTCACTCAGCCTGGCCGCACCTCCCTGGCTGGGGTGGTGGGTCAGTCCCGGGCAGCCGGGCCCTTCCCTGATGGACCCCCAGGGCGGCCCTGGCCTGTGCAGTACCCTGGCACAGCAGCAGCATTGCTCAGAGTACTTAATAAACAATCCCATCTGCTTCAACAAAGTCTTGCTGTTAAAGGGACTGAACCTGTGGGTGGGGAGAAGGGCAATATGACCACCTCTTAACCCTAGTCTCGCTTACTTGTACCTCCTGTCTATTACATAGGAAGATAACTCTTACCTGTTGGTATCCTCAAGCATAACAATTTTGTACCAGGTGTACAAATAAAATAATCAAATAAAATCAAGCTGGGACATCCCTCAGCGTTGTCACCCTCTCATGGTGTCCTTCCCCACTCAGGGGTCCTCCCAGCAGTTCCCTTGGGGAACCTCAGCAGGGCCAAGCACCGCAACTTCCACTCCCCCATTTTCCATCTCCTTCACTGGAAGTTACATTCGAGCGTTAAAACTCCCACACACCCACATGATAACACCACTGAGATCTTTTCGAGATCCATTTTCACGAGCTGGTCTCTCCTTACATGGAAGAATTGGAGGTGATAAAACAGGAATATTTATAAAGTGATAATAAAAGTGCCTAGGCTCAATATATTCCAGATTGCCAGTTCAGATAATTAATAGTTGTGTTGTTTGAATTTTTTTATCAGGTAACATTTAAATGTTTTGAAAACTGGGCTTCCATTTATCTTACTGACAGAAACAACACAGATATTCATCCTAAATATTCCTAATAATTCCTCTGCAGTCAGAAGGAACTGCTACAGGCAGCATGTCTGACACACTGCAGAGAGGTATTACAGACTTTTCCCCAGAAACTGGATTAAACCATGTCTTTTAGAAGTATTCTTAATTTCATTTTAACATCAAGCAGTAGTCAGTTTGACATTTCCCTACTATGCCATGTCAAAGTTTACTTACCTTTACTCCTGGGAACTTGCACCTTATTTTTAAGGTATGATTTGTCTAATACCAGCCACTGGATCTGGTATGTTTTCTGTCATGTTGAAAAGATGTAGCCACAAGAATTCCTTCTATGTTCAAGAGCATACCATGGCCACTATGTATCTTCCCAAATTCTCTTTGGGAACCTGCACATTCCTGAATTCTTTGACCTCATGAGGCTTGCTCTTCAGTCCCAAAACAGTTTTATGGCTTTCATTTAAATTACCTTTGTGTAAACTTTCTAGAAGTATAAACTGGGCCTGGAAGCAGTAATCAGGCAGCATTATGGTTTTATGTCACTATTTCTACTTGGTAAACTTATTTTCTGTATCTGACAGGCACTCTTCCTACAACTTCACAAAATCCTCACAGTAAAGTAGCTGTTTATGATGCTTCAAAAATCCTTCTCAATTTACCGTTTCTTAAGAACTGAGATTTTGGTTTTTACATTTTTAAAGGTACGGGGTTTCTTTTCAAATTTTACTCCCAAGGTAACAAGACGGCAAAACAGGTAACAACACAGTACATTCGTATTTTTACTGAACGATGCCAATGTTGTGCTTTAAGTGAAAACTGTCCTGAATAAGTTGAGGTATACTACATCAACATCTCACATGTAAACCCATAAATAATAAAAAGATTAGCCCACTGATATTTCCACCAAAAAAAAATGTTCAAATGGAACCGAGAACATTTTTTTTGTCTTTCATTGCTGACAAAATCTCAACTTCACTGGTCCACTGTTCGCTCTTGCTGATGCTACACGACTGGTCTTCAATTCTGTTACCACCTTTGCTCTTTCAAACACTCCCTAATGTTAAGATGGAATCCTCAGGATCATGTTTGTCTTTTCTAATACTCCATGACCTCCTGTAAAGTTATTTTCTTAAGTTTATATTTCCAAAATATAATTAGACAGTTACAAATGTTAGGGATCCTGACAGTTACCTAGAATGTCATGCTCTCTGCAGGACTGCATTCATGATTGTGCTTAAGCTCTCACACCTGTGCTATATGTGACACTAAAGATTGTCAGTATAAGAACGAGAAACTAAGTGGTAGGCAGGACTGCATTTTATTCACAATCACGGAAAAGGAATGGGAATACTCAGTTCCTGCCACAGGTCAGCATGAGTGGTACTCTGCAGAGTCTTTGTTAGGTTGTGTGCTGCCTGACCTATTCATAATTATCATCCAAAAAGGGACAAAGCAACAAAATTTGCCGAAGATGAAGTTAGTGATCACTTTAGACTTTAGTTAGTAAGACTACTGGCAAACTGTGAAGAACTGCAGGAAGATATGTAAGACTGATTAAGAAATACAATGTCAGATGCAATTCAGCATAGATAAATAAAAAATTATACACATGGAGATAAACAACCATAGTTTCACCTGGAAAAATAGCCTCTGAGCTTAGCATTATCTCTCAAGACTAAGATCCTGTGGTTACGATAGATAACGCCAGGAAAAGAGCTCAGTGCTCAATTCAGATTTAAAAGGTCAAGTATTAGGAATTACTAGGAAAGGAATAAAGAACATGAAAGTAAACAGGCCAGTACTTAACTACATGTCTAATGCCGCATGCAGTTTTGATTCCCTTCTCAGAATATACGAGACCCAGAAAAGTTGCAAAGCACAATAAATGCAGAAGATATTCCATGCCTTTGGCTACTCAAGGAATATTTTAACTAATGCATTTTAGTTTAGAAGAAGAAATTTAAAGGTGAATGTTATATATCTGCAGAACCATGACTGGCACACACATGGTAGGTAGAAGCTTACTATGCAGGAAATTTTAAATTAAGCTAGTAAAAATCAGATTCAAAATCAACAAGCGACAATTCTTTATGCAACAGACATCAATTGATAAAAGCTGCTGTTATTCAGGAGGCCTATACAGTCCAAGGGAAACTGGACAAGTACTGGAAAAAGAAGCACTGGGGATTACTAAATCAACAAACCACATGATGTTCAGGAAAGCCTGGAATAGAAGACACTTGGAAGCTAGGAGAACACATACGGAAAAGAACCAAATGTGCTTACATTGTTCTTATCCTTCCTCAGGCAGCTGCTTTTGACTACAAAAGAGGCTATTGTGTTAGAAAAAATCTTTGCTCAGGACCTGGACAGCTAGTCCTGTTATGTTTGTCTTTTCATGAGTTCCAAAAGCATGTAAGGAGCCCAGAAGAAAAGCATGTGCTGTTTGCTTGGCTTCTTAGTTAAATGTAGTAGAAGGTGGTGTGTGTCAAATGCAGCCAAGGCTTCTCAGCCATCAATGGTAAGCCCGAGTGCTCATGTTCACATAATGGCGATGCTAATAGCAGGAGATTTATTTTATTGCAGAGAAACATTTCCAGTATGAAACTCCCTACTAGAGGAATTTTCTTTTTTTTTTTTTTTTTTTTTACCAAGAGGAAGAAAAAAAATATTTCGTGTATTTGTTCTGGATGGTACCCCAAATCAAAAGCAATTAGGACTTCTGTTACACCAACTCCTAAGCACATGTGTTCCACACAGTATTTTGAAAGAAACTTTGCCAAGTACACTGAAGAAAAATATACAGACTTTCCAGGTAACCACAGATCTACCAGTTTTAAGGAACATGTCCTTCCTGCTTTCAGCCCATGTATGTTAAATATTCAACCTTAAGGTTTGCATTTCATTTTGTAAATACGAACTTCTAAGTATAACCAATGTTACCATCTAGTTCACTGTAATAATAAAAATGATGCATTTTTAGTTTTATATACATGAAACCAGGTGTTTGAACGTCAAAACCATGCCCTGCTTCTATAATTCTGCATAATAAATGGTCTACCAGCAAATGTCTAAGTGCATAAAAACTGTAAGCTTATTGATGGTAAAATAGTAGGTGCAACCTACCGAACAGATCAAGAATTATATATAAACGTTGTTCTTATATTGCATTTGCCAGCTGGTTTTAAGCATTTAAGAGCTAATTGGCAATTGGTGTTGATCTGACCTGATGTTTTCATGATCTTTTACTGAGTTTTCAAACTTCCTAGGATAAATTTTATCAAGGTATCCCTAGTATGAAGGGATATAGACAATGTTTTCAAAAAGCATTACTCTCAGTATTCAGAAGTTATAAATCTGGGGTAACACCACCAATTTACAACTGATTTTAAGTGTTCGTGAGTGAACAAAATGTTGCCATTTAAAAATCCCCCCCCAACTCAGTTATCCAGAAGTTTTCACAGCACCCTCCTGGAATGATTTTTTTGGCCAGGCTAACTAGAAATAATGGTAAGCAGTTTGGTGTAATATAAATATTTTTCTATTTTCTCTGCCAGCAATATGGTGTATTTAGCCTTCTCCATCGCCTTTTGTAGAGCTATGATCTCAAGTACATATGATGTAAATTCTTAAAAGCAGAAAGAACTTTTTCTCTGCACAAATATAATGTTTGGCTTAAGTAAGATCCAAGGTTCATTTCCAGATGTGCTCCACCCTATTAACTTTGGAGGTTATTTGAGGTCCCATTAACACTACACCTTGAAACCATGCTAACCAAAAAATTGAAGAAGCTTTAACAGCAGCAGATGATGAACACACAAGAAACCATTTTCTTATGAAGTAGAATCCCTGGATGCAAATGTATTTACTGGAAAGTAACATGATAAACAGTTTACTGTATATACTACAAACACCTGCTTTGGCATCAGTGAAGATTCCTAGTGCTGAATGAGGAGACATTCCTATACCAAACAACTGCTTAAGACTCATTGAGTCCCATCATCCACATCCAATAATTCTCATATGTGCTTTGACTATGCATTAATAATTCAGCCTTAATATTTTTAGGTCTAGTACTCAGAACAAATGTAGCCTCTGAACTCCATAAAATATTCCATCTAGAATTTAAATTTTCACACATTTCTGCATGGATAACAAGTTCCTTTGTTATTAAAGTTAAAAAAAAAAAAAACAACAAACAAACAAACATTTTTTCCAGCAATTTGAATCAAAAGGACAATTCATTACTTACGTTATCAAAAGTGCTTTATTTCTTACTTTCGGATTGAGACTTAAGTCACTACTCATACTCTAATTAAATAAAGTCAGGATGGGCTTCATTTCCATCTCGTCCATAAACAATACTAAAATTGTAATTTTTCATCAAAGCAAGAGATAAAAACCAGGATATATTATCAGTTCTAAAGGATGCATTTACAAGCTATACTCATTATAATAATATTCATTGCTACACACTAGTAAATTCAGCAAGTGTGCAGTACCTGACACTGTTTGAAAAATACTGGATGCCAAAGAAGAGCAATTGCAGTATATTCACAAATAGTTCACAAAAATAGGAGGTAATGAGATTATTGGTAAACTTATTAAAAAACTCTTCAAATCTATTCTATATATCATCCTTTACAAAAAACTTATAGAAATATCCTGAAAGCTTTGCACACACACTTATTTCACTTTTTTCTGAATAATGGCAATCTTCAAAGCCTCTGTTAACTTTAACGTGGCATTCTTCTCACACAGAAATCTTCTCCCTTATCAGCCTGTCATATTTTCAGCAGCCTAGAAACAGAAAAAACATGTATTGCAAGTCACCAAAAGTTGACAATATGTAGATTAAATTTAATCTTTTATTGTAACTATTTTAGTTTACATAGAGAGCATAAAAGTCTAAAAATAAGCTTGTGAAAATTATAACGTATAGTATTGTTCTCTAATAAATACTTCTGTTTTTTAAAAAAAAACAATGCTGTCAGCTGCCATTAGCCTTTATTAACATAGTCATTACTGTTTGCTTGTGTTAAATTGTATATCCTGTATCTCAGCAGCTTGTATCCTGTACATTTTAGCCTAATGCTGTCAGGAAGTGCTCAAATGAATGATTTTCTTTTCCCTTTGGAGTTTACTTCATTATACAATTTATAGAAATTATTACTCCCACTTTTACAGATAAATTATTGACACAGAACTTAGAAGAGTAACACTAATAACTGCATAAATCACACTGCCAACTATTTGATTAAGTTAATTGGTATGTATTTTTATTACTGAATAACTGAACTCAGCCAACAAGGTACAGTTGTTGGAGACTGACACTGGTAGATTTTAAACCAATTATGGGATAAACGGGCCAAGGATAGAAATGGGAATGGTAAACCAGTAAAAGCAAAGGAAGAAGTAAAATGCATGCACACATGTAAGCATGTACACAAATATAAAATATGCATGAGCATAGAAAAATGTTAAGTTCAAAGTGCAGTAAAAAGTTTGAAAGCCAGTGAAAAATAGCCTTAACTAGCATCCATCTAGTCAAAAACCCATATGTTGAATTTTCTAAGAATCACAATGCAGTCTTCCAGAACAGAGATAGGCAGGCTATTCACTACTAGCGAAACAGGTGAATGCTAAATTATGAAAAGCCCCATATATAAACACACCAGGAAATTCCCTCTTGTTTGTCTTTGGAGAGATTCAAAGTACAGATTCATGACATAAATGCAATATGTGATGATTACATTAGCAAGCTGCATTTACCTGTTCACAAGTACTGCTGCATACTATCAGGCCTGAGGTTGCAGAAATGAAGTGATATGGGTTAAAGTAGAAAGTAGCAATCTATCTATGGTATGATGCAGGTAAGGGGGCAAATGGTGGCTACTAATGCCCAGAATAAAACTCTGTGGGTTTTAGCTGTTGTTTTTTGTCTTTCAAAAATGTTAACCCAATAATTTTTGAAAAGCATTTATTGCTTCAGGTTCCATTCAGTTGTGCTCATTGCCTTTCCTATGGAATAGTCAATTTCCTTGTTTTAAAAGTCAGTCATATCTTAAAGTACAATTTGCAAATTGAAGCATAGCAAGTTGGACATACACCTGACTTAAAACCAAATTTATAAGTTTTTAAAGAAAAAGCATTACCTTTAGAGCTTCCGTAGCCTTACGCAGTTCTTTAATAACAGATGATAATGCTTCTGGATTTATCCCTTGTTCACAAAGCCGCACACAAATAGACAATGTCTCCATATCCAAACCAGTGTTTAATATTCTTGATATCTCAAACAGAACTGCAACAGTAAAAGAGAAAGCACTTTGGTCCCTACAGACTATGCAATTTCAATGATCAAAAATGTTATTCAACAACATTTGATTTCTACAGCAGAGTCTGTGAACATGGCAGTTGTGGAACGCTCTTGCAGTCTGACCCTCAACACCAACATTTTTGTACAGCTTTCCAGCATAAGCTAGAAGCCACAGCTTCTAACATAAATACCATGCTTTTCTGGTTCAGCAGACTGAATACTGTATAATGGGTTTTGAAAAATAAAAAAATAAGAACTCAATAATTAACATGCATGTCAAATACGTAAAAAGTAGGCTATAAGAGTAATCCATGCTTTTGAACTCCAGATACTGACAAAGTCCTACAGAAACAGATTGGAACCACATTCTTAAAGTTTTTACAGAGAATGGGAAGAGTTTTCTAGACACCTCCTTCCACAACTAAACCCGTCTTTAGGTCTAACATTAACACTGGTTTAAGGATAAGCAATACTGTTTGATTTCTACGTGACCCGAATCATGAGCAGCACCACATGTCAGTATGAAACCTTTTGTAGGAGGAGATTCCAGTCAGCTTTGTACAGAAACAAAGATCTCACTCTCTCCTTCCAAACCTTGCCTGGAAGGCCCCTCTTTCATTCTTATGAACAGTTTCTAATAGATGTAACAGAACAACTCAGTGAGATTTTACTGCTGGTTGCTACAGTAATCTCCATCCTGAGGCTAAACCTCTAGCAATACAGGTGTATTTTGAACAGATGTCATTCACACTGTTTCTGTAATCAAACCTCCCCCAAACTAGGAGAAAGTGAAGTATAAGGTCTTTCTTACCACATAAAACCAATGTGGCAAGTGACTACTGTCCACTTGACAGCTCTGAAAATGTTCTACTTTGGTATACCAAAGACATAGTGCAGCACACCCTCCAAGTCACACCTACTCAGGCCAAGACATCAAAGGCCTAATGTATCCAGTTAATTCCACCGAAGTCACAAGGAAACGTCAGATGCTATGAAAAACACATCTAGGTGTGGTAATACTCTGGAAGCCCACACAAGTAGGCTGGATTAAGAATACACACCAGTTTAAGATGTGAAAGCAGCCTGACAGACCAAAGCCCCAGCTACAAGCCACAAGGGGAACTCGGTTCTCCACAAGACTTTCTGTCCCCACTGGCTTGAAAGCAAACCGTTCCAAACGCGTTACACATGCACACCCTGTCCACAAAAAAGCATCTTCAACAGCCAGAGCAACATCAAATTGATGCATTTGCAATAAAGTGCCACTGAACACTAAGAGCTACAAAACTAAGGCAGACTGGCAACTTCCCAGAAATAAACAATTCTTACTTTAACCACTTTAAAACTTATCTCAAAATTTACTAAGCATGTGACATATTTGAAGGCAGAGCAGTAAATCTAACTAAAGATAACTTCCAATTTTCTGTATCGGCAAGAGCTGTGGTTACTAGTTTCTAATAGAAAATACCTTTAGGTGTTGAGGCAGCAGTTTCTCCACAAAAAAATCTGAGCTTTTCACCATTCTGCAGAGAACAGCTGCTAAATATGTATACCTGACATTCTAAATTAAGCATTTTACTTCTCTAAAATATTAAAGATATAAAAGAACACTTTTTTTGTTAATATCAACCCATTTGCTTCCATTAGTTGCCTATTTTTAGGCAGTAGGTTAAGATGCGACACAGATCTCTATGGGGGGTCGACAGTTGGGCGGGGGACCCTGAAGGGGCCTGCAGTGTGGATCCTGACTGGGTTCTCACCCTTGAACAGATAAAAATGTATATCCTTAGTAATGCAAACATGCCCAGCTTGTGCGGGGCAACCTTGAGAGAGGAATAAAAGCAAACTGTTCAATGCTTGCTAGACTAACAGTGGGAAACCCAGAGAAACTGCAACTGTAGCACATGAAATCACAGCTGTAGATTTTTAGGGCACAGCCCTTCATTACAGGAGGTTGCTACGGAAAAGGCCAATAGAAGCTAAGTCAGTTAAGCAACTGCCAATAGGCTGCGATCTAACTGCACTGGTTTGCCTTGAGGCTTATAAAAGGTGTGTGAAAAAGGGCAATTAAAGAAATCATCATCATAATTGATCTGTAACCCATATTGTCATCTGTCCGTCTATAGCACAACAGATTTCATGTTCTATTTTAAAAAGTCTGAAAAAATTATCTTACAAATATTTTTCCTACTCATTATGATGGCCCTTATCAAGAAAAATCTCATTACATGGACATAGCTATCAGTGCTTTACATTTTCAACTACTTCACCAAAGCACTTCAAATAAATACTCTTATAATGGAAATTTCAAAAGATTAATGTTATTGTGAACACAAAAAAACCCCAAACAATTTATTAATTATTGAGTGCAGTAAAAGTTCAAACATGAGGGTATTTCTACGACTCTAAGTAAATCTTTACAAATCAAGCGTATATTTAAGTTAATGAAAAAAAAAAAAAACACAAACAAACAAACAAAAAAACCCACAAAAAAACCCTGACCTCAGGAAGAGATTAAATTATGAAAGTCTATCCTAAATAAAATATCCACATTGTTACACAGGAAGCCTGGGCTCTTAAATCTGAAGGCTAGTATACTTTACATAGCAGTTCTCAAAAGCCTTGCTTTGTCTTTATATCCGCATATTGTCCCTCCTGTCTAAAACACTCCTGCAGAAGTGGAGAGAAGGTAGGTGTCAAGTACAGTTAGGAGAACTTGGAATCACTGTCCTTCACAAATCTCTCTCTATCTGCATAGAATGGTCTTATCCTCTTGAGGCATCAAAGCAGCCATAATAAACCTGCTACGCCTGCCTCACCTCCAGCAGTGGGCCAGAGTGGGTACATCATCAGCTGAAACACTAATTTTTACACCAGTTCAACTTATGAAGGTCTTCGCTAAGTAATCCTTATGTAATAGTAGTCATAATACAAAGGAAGACCGTAACAAAACAACAAACGCAAAGCAATACCCCACTGAACACCCTCCCTAGCTTCTAGTCGCTCTCATTAAGGCGTTTCTTGAGAGTCTTCGTATTTAACAACCCTCAGAAGATTTCCAGGCAGCTTTCCACTCTGTCTGCCTGAAATCCATGTAAGCTTTTAGCATAGCCATTCCATGGAATCCCGGAGTTTCACAGGACATATTGCTAACAAACACCTCCTAAACGTGCCAGCTTTGATTCCTCAGAGTCAGGCTGGAAGAAGCAGCGAACCCCTGATCTCCACTCACCCTGCTCACCTTTCTCAAGGCATACACATCTCCAAAATGTTTCCCACTACTCCCAGTGCCACTTTGCCCACATTCCCTGTCCCACAACAGCGCCAGGGTTTTTTTTGGTATTAGAAAATATTCTATTTCTGTAATGCTGACTGCTCTTCTCAAAACTTTTTCACTGTCGTTTTTCGGTTTTTTTTTTTTTTTTTTTTTTTTTTTTTCAGTAAGTCACTTTGTTTTTCTGACAGGAGATGTCCACAGGAACAAGATACCGGGGTTCGGATCAGCTCAGGTGCTGCCACCCCCAGCACCACAGGGCTGGTCCTCCTGTTTAAATCCATGATGCACAGAGCGAGGTAACGCTAGCTTTCCTTAACCCCTTCAGATAACGAGAAAGAACAGCAAACAGACACGCTTATAAGCGCTGAAAAGATAACGCTGCTCTAAATGAAAAACCGAGAAACGCCACACGAGGCACAAGACACGAAGCGCTTCAGGCATAACGTGCGACAGGAAGCAAACCCAAGATAAATCCTTAACCGACTTCAAACCACGATCCTCCTCCTCCTCCTCCTCCTCCTCCTCCTCCTCCTCCTCCTCCTCCTCCTCCTCCTCCTCCTCCTCCTCCTCCTCCTCCTCCTCCTCCTCCTCCTCCTCCTCCTCCTCCTCCTCCTCCTCCTCCTCCTCCTCCTCCTCCTCCTCCTCCTCCTCCTCCTCCTCCTCCTCCTCCTCCTCCTCCTCCTCCTCCTCCTCCTCCTCCTCCTCCTCCTCCTCCTCCTCCTCCTCCTCCTCCTCCTCCTCCTCCTCCTCCTCCTCCTCCTCCTCCTCCTCCTCCTCCTCCTCCTCCTCCTCCTCCTCCTCCTCCTCCTCCTCCTCCTCCTCCGGGTGGTTTAAGAGCAAGCTAAAGGCCCCACGGCCCAAAGAGGGGCGAGACCCGCCGGGAGAGGCCGCCCCCGCCGCCACCACCCACCGTCCATCGTCTCCCGCACCGCGTTAAGGCTGGCGGCGTTACTCGCCATGACGACCCCGCGTCCCCCTCACCTCCCACCCGGAAGCGGAACGAATTTTAACCGCCCCCCCCCCGAAAGCCCCGGCGCCGTTCAAACGCTCCCGCCCCAGCAGGAAGGCGAGGGGCGGGCTTTCTTTCGAATTTGCGCGGCGGCTCTGCCGGCGATTGGCCCGTTCGAGATCGGAGGGGAAGTGGGGCGCGCCCTGCCGTTGGCCCGGGCAGCAGGAGCCGCGCGCCGCGATTGGGCAGAGCGGCGGGAGGGGCGGGGCTGGTTAAAGGGCCTCCCGGCGCGGCGGCGGGCGCTCTGACCCGGGGAGAGCATGAGTGGGCGCGGCGGCGTCATCTCCCCCCCCCCGGTAACGGTAAATCGGCCGCCGCCCCCTCCTCCTTCCCTGCGCGGGGGGGGGGTGGGGGTGGGGCTGCTGCGGGGCCCAGGCCCGGGGGGTGGGTGGGGGTTTTAGCGCCCGAGCGAAGCGGGACCTGCGTGAGGGCGGCTTCCCGCCGCCCCGCCGGGCTTGGCCTCAGTCCCCTCCCGCCGCCGCCTCCGCTGGCTCCGCAGCTCCGGGGGCCGCCCGCGCCCCGGCCGGAGCGCCGGGTTCCCCAAGCCCCTGAGGGCTCCAGCGTTCGGTGTGCGAGCTGCCCCCCTCTGGGGTACATTTGGCTTCATCGCCGAATATTCTCGTGTTGGTTTGTTGCTGTTGTGGGGCTGTTTTTTGTTTGTTTGTTTTTGCTTTTTTGTTGTTGCTTGGTGCTTTGGTTTTGTTTTTTTTTTTTTTTTTTTTTTTTAATTTTCAGTGTCTTTTTTTGTCTCGCTTTCAGAGGTTTTATTTCTTTTTAGTTGTTTGTATCCGCCTTAATTATCAGCTCTTCACACATCAAGATAAAACTAACCGGTTTTGTTAGTCTTTTAAATGTTTCTGGCGCCTTAAAAATGATTGATCATCTCTTCCCAAAACTTTCGGGATGACTGTGAAAAGTCAAAATTATAATTTCCTTTATTTTTTTTTTCCTGCCCTTTATTTTTCCTCTCCCTCTCTCTTTTCCAGGTATAGTTTAGTGTTATGGGTGATACAAAAGAAGCTAAAATGCAGATAACACCAGAAACTCCAGGGCGAGTCACAGTCCTGAATCCTTTTGAAAGTCCCAGTGATTATTACACTCTTCAGGAACAGATTGTCTCCAGTCCTTCAGTCTTTAAATCAACAAAATCCTCATCTGTAAGATACAGTCTTCGGTTGTCTAACTATACAGATGTAGTTCTGATATTTTGAAATGCCTTAAAAGGTGTATTTTATTTAGTGTACTTTAAGGTATATACTAAGCCAAAGAGTTTTGGTGGCATTTGGTGGTTCTTCTGATTACAGTAGTATGCTGCTTTTAATATTAATGTTGTCACTTAGTCTTCCTACTTTCCTGATTTTTTTATTTTTTTATTTTTTTTTTTTGTCTTTAGATATTAGGTGTATCAGTAGATTAGCATATACCCACTAAGTGCCAGAACCAGTTGAAAGTAGATAAAGGACAATTGTTGGATGTGGTGTTCTTGTCCCACTTAAAGTGGAAAAAACCCCCAGTTCCTACTTACATGCTAAGCAGGCTGGATGCAAATAAAACTTAATTGCTCTTCTATTATGAGCTGTTTACATAGTCAAAGAATCAAGTTAATGATTTTATGTATATATAACATTTTTTAGTTGCAAATTGTATTTTGGATTGCAGTTGGAATTACCTGATAAGCAGAGATGATGCTTTGCTAATGAAACTAAAAAGACTCATTTGGTAGATTATTTTTCAAACAGATATTTGAACAGTAGTTTGTAATTGTTAAAAAAAGGGGCAAAGCTGATTTACATCTGAATTTGGGTTTTGTTGTGAGCTATGCCTGGTGTTATGAGGGAGACTTTGCAGGATGTGTATGGGGATGCAACTCCTAAGTCTTCTTGGAAATGTGAGGTGAAAGGAAGGCTGCTGTATTTGGATAACTTGGTGCAGATATGGACGTTGGGTTTTCATGGAACCACAGTTTTGATTATGGCAATCTAGAAGCAACTAAACTTTATCCCAAGTTCTGTATCTTTAGTAGATCTGTCCTCAGAAATTGAGAAGAAATTGATACCTCAGTTTGTAAATATTGGCTATAACCTTCTACTTCATATTGTCTTGTAAATTGTTGTAATATCCCTAACAGGATAAAGAAGCCTGATTGACTTACTCATTCTTTTAAGTGGATCACTTAAATAGAAACTCTTTTGATTGTTTTTGACAGAAACTATATGGAAGTTATGATTGCACTGTTCCATTGAGATTTGTCCTGTGATTTTATTTTTACCTTTCTAGACTAGCAAGCATTAAGATGTCCATTTCTTTTTTTAGACACCAGGAAAATTTAGATGGTCTATTGATCAGCTTGCTCTAATAAATCCTGTGGAAATTGACTCTGAAGATGTTCGACGCCAAGCGATGTATCTGAGTCATGCTAGGTAACTCACCATCTGTTTTTATGCAGTTAATGTAGCTTGAATACTAGAACACTGTTCTTTTGCTTTATTGACGTCTCAGCGTGGCATTAAAGACTTTTTATTCAAATCTTTTAACATAGATTTTTGTGTCCCTGATGTGGATATACTATTTAGATTAGGCTGCCTCTGTGTCACTCTTTTTTAATGTTAGGAACTGCTGATCCACTCTGACTGCAGTTTGGAAGACAGCCAGGTAAAAGCAGTTAATGGAAGCAAGAAAATGACTTGCCAGTGATTGTTATCAAGCTACCCCTCCTGCTCCTTGTCACAACACAATTTATCTCTCAGCATGCTCCATACTGAGACCTGTGAAGTGTAGGCTTCTTTGGTCTTTGGGGCTCCTGCAGAACGGTAGAGCTGGGAAAGCTAGCTAGGTAAGCCAGTACCCTTTGTGAAAGGTATAGATTTGACTTAATGTGAAGGAGGGAAGACCAATAAGCTTGCTGTCTGCTTTTTGCCTTGGAGGAGAAGGAGATTGTTAGTTACTTGAAATAATTTGGGGATCTTGATATCAACTTTTTCCTTTCTCTGAAAATAACTTCTGCAGGGAAAACAAGTAAAACAGGCTTGGTATTCACAGCTCATCTTGCAGGATAATCTTACACAGTAATAGTATAGAACATGTCAAGGGAAGGCCACGGTGGTGAATCCTGTAGACACTCACACACGTTTCTCAGATAGGGACTTGCACAAAGAATTGTACCTCATGACACAAAGCACCACAGTAATAGAATAATAAAACAATCCCCCATCCTGCTTATAGGACTTTCAAGTCCTGTTAGTGAAATGAAACACAGATAGAGGGCTGTTTAGTGCAAGAGTCCTCTGAATACTCATAGAATCATATAATGGTTTGGGTTGGAAGGGACATTTAAAGGTCATCTAGTCCAACCCCCCTGCCATGAGCAGGGACATCTTCAACTAGATCAGGTTGCTCAGAGCCCCATCCAACCTGGCCTTGAATGTTTCCAGGGATGGAGCATCCACAATGTCTCTGGTCAACCTGGTCCAGTGTTTCACCACCCTCATCCTAAAAAAGAACTATTGCTCTTAGTGCCTGACTGAATCTAGAATCTTTATTTTTGAACAGGAAGAGCTATAAGAAGGAATATGAATATCTTGCTACAGTAGAGATGTAGAAAGAATGCAACTGTCCTCAGCTGTACCTGTGAATCACCATGTCTTAATGTTGATACTGTTTTTCTTAATATCTCTTTGTTTCCTGGCCTTCCTCTAGCCGCCAGTAGGTTTCATAATCTAATGCTTTTTATATGTTATAAAGCCTAAAGCCTTACATTTTTAGAGAGTTGATTACATTGGTTCTGGAAGCCTATTAGCACACATACCAACTAGCTTTAATTTAGATGGCTTGGGTGAAAATTCCAATGGTGATTAGTGGCATAGCCTGTAGATGTAAACGTGTATTGTCTCAGTGGGTCCTTTCAGCCTGTCCCACTGTTTCATACCCATTGTGATTTATTTTCTAGTCGTATCAGATGATTTTTAAAAAGAGGCTACTTTCTTTGTGTAGATATGCTGTGTCCATGCTTGCATGTCTCAGACTGAGGTGGTTATTTCTGGTGGCTGCAAACTGTACATAGTTAAATGCATATATATGTATGTGTGTAAGATTTTGTATGGCAACTGGGTTTAATTTACATTTCTTAAATACTGCTTTGTGGAACCTAAAGCGTCATAAATACAACTCTTGACATTAAAGGTTCCTGATAAAAGAGTTTTCAAAGTCCACGCATAATGCTACACAAACTATATACTCCATTTTAATAATGCTTGTTAACAAGTCATTTTTCTCAATTGCAAAGGAACACAAGCATAAGAAATTTGGTGTATAAGTACTCCAAACTGTTAATTCTCCATTATGCAGTGAAAACAGTTTGTGTAGCAGCACAGTGTAAAAGCTCATGAGTGCCTTGCAAAGTCTAAGTGTGTATCATGTGTAGACTTGATTTTGTGCAGTATTACTGTTTCCATAAACTAGGCATCACCTATGTGTATGTGTTCATCGCACTGCTTATAAAATGATTAAGAGAACTTTTCTGGCAGACAGTTAGTGAAAAATAGTCTGTCAGTAATTGGGCAGACAGTGACAGACTTGTCCACAAACTTTCCTCTTCGCTTGTTATTTGTACTGGTAGAAATGGAATGTTTCTAAATTGGATTCTATGCTACTATATGTAAAGTATTAAAAAATTGTGTACTGTACCTTGCATACCGTGTGTCACAGTTGCAAGTGCTCTGTTGCTCGAAGTTGCATACAAGGCTGGCGGCTTTTTATTTTTGTTAAATACATACAATGTTTTCACTTTTTTTCCCAGAGTTATGCACTAAAGAAAAACCATCCTCTTCTGCACTGACCAGCACTTTTAGCGGGAGCTGTTTTCCCAGGTCCCCTGTTTCTCCTTTGGAATCTGACTTGGAATTACATAGTGATCCCCTATGCATAAATATACAGTGATTTGTGCTTATTTTTTGGTATAATGACTAAATTTTGTGCCAATGTCTTCATAGAACTGTCACTTTAGCATTGTATATGGCAGACATAGAAGATGGCATGTCCAAGTATTGCAGATCCAGCTGAAGTCTGATTAGCATCAAAGAAAGAGGGTTGTGAGGGGAAGTTTATGTATGTATTGGGCACACTTACATGTGTTTGTGTAGCTAATTATGGCCATTTTCTGACTGATTTCTAAAATTGCTCAAGGGTAATTCAGGTATACTAACTGTATATGAAAGTATTATGTGATGCTACAGTGATGATGAATATTCATTGTAAAATCTTTTTAAGCTTTTAAATTACATAGTAGTATCTGAAAGTGAGACTTGAAGGTGGCCATTAAAGGATGTATAAATGTAGAACCTCACACATCCTTTTGAAGGTGGCTCAAGTAACTACAATATTAAAAAAAAAAAAACAAAACTAGGTTAAAAGGTGCATGAGCAATGTACCTTTTGAACCAATGAATTGATTCAAACTGAAATACAATGTTCTATCCTGAACTGAAGAAAATATAGCAGACTAGCTATTTGAAAGGGGGAACTCTGTGATGGGAAGATGGGCTGTGTCAGTAGTTTAGGCATGTAAACATGAGTATCTTCTCTTGCCCTTTTCCTTACAGCTCAAGTTTTTATTGTGCTTGGTTTTGTGGTGAGATTCATTGTAAGCCTACTCTCATGGCAACCCGAATAGTAAAATCTACTCATATGGCAAGTTCAACATAACTAAATGGATTATTTTGAAGTATCAGTTATGATTTGAGTTTTTGGCCAGATAAAGGTATTTGATAAGACTTGATAAAAAGACCTGATACAAGGAGTAAATAGAAGATTTGCAAATATGTACTTATAAATGGTACAGATATTTTTCAAGTGAACTGAAATAACTGAGAAGTACATTTATATTTCTAAATTTATAGTATGAGATTATTGCGCATAACAGTAAAAACATAAGATTTAGGGCTTAATGCAGTTTCATTTATAATGTTTCTCTTAAGCATCTGTAAAAGATTACGTGGTTGGACTTTACTCTTTTTTTCTTTCCAACTATGTGATGGTGTTGATAATTGAGTTGTTTTTCATTTGTTACTTAGAATTGATAAGGAGACAGAAGACAGAAGACAAAAAGCCATTGAGGAGGTAATAAAACTTTCTATGCTATGAAGTACTGATTTGTTTTACCTATACACCTACAAAAAAGATCCACGTCTATTATAGGATTTAAAAACTCATAAGTCTATTATTTTACTGGTCAGTGAGAAAGTAAATTTGTGTCCTCATCCCTTGCAGTTGTAGTTGGAATCCAGTTGGTCTTTTTCTTCCCATCTTCTTTCACGTACCTGTAAGTCAAAATAGTAGATTTTGCTGCTTTCATGTTGCTTAGTTAGTAGGAATGTAGCTGTAAGATAACTCTTATAAATAGTTAATTTAAGGTCAAAAATAATGATTGAGTATTTTGGGGTTTATAGTAACTGTTAGTGTTAGGTGGCTTAGTTTCTTTTATTGCATTTTTTAAAATATAGCAGAACCTTGGTGGTTGTTTTATTTCTTCCAAAGTCTGCTTAGTTGGAGGCAAGACTTTTTTATGGTAGTTTGTAGTTCTGTCCATTTTTCATTTTATTTTTTACTATCTGTCTAGCAGAGAAGGAAGAGTAAAGTGTTTCAAATCTTCACTACAGAAATCTTCAATGTTATTTCAATTAAAAAAAATAAAATAAACTAAGGCTCTGTTAGGCAAGTCTTCCTTAGTGTTACTGACCTTTTTATATTGTATCATGCTGTTACCAGTTTCTGTGTCTATAAGCAAAAAATATGTTTTATGATTCCATGAAGGTGCCATGTAGTTGACCTGTAACTAAGATACTCTGTTCTAAATCTGCATTAAAAGGATATTTCTTCTTTGGAATGGATCATTCAGCAGAACAGCTTGAGACCATGTCTCTGATAAAAATTATGCCTTTAATAGTTGGGTGTTTCAAGCTGAGTTGTTTTGTTTTGTTTTTTCATTTGCTTTGAGTCTTGCTTTTATTGAGAGCAGGATTTGCCATGTATTTCTTGAGGTTATGTAATAGTGTTCATGTCCTCAGCATCAGGGTGTTCGAGACTGCAACTGTGACAGCAGATAGAGTTTCTGGTTCAAAGAGTAAGACTGCTAACCAGTTTAGCCAAATACACTAATAATATTGCCAAAGAGCCTTGGTTGTCCACTTCTTTTACTGTTACTGGAGTGTCTCTTTAGCACTTCTGCAAAATAGCACAACTATCAAAATACTACGATTTAACAAACTGAAAATCTGAAAAGAATTATGTTAAACAACTGTGCAGTAAGTATGGCTGAGACAATTCACATTTGTAAATGAGTAATTAGTGTTAAATGTAACTTTTGTACAATTTTCATTCTTCAGACTTGAAAGATCTGACATGGTATGTGTCATAAAGAAAACGGGAGTCATCTTAAAATCTCTGGGCCTGAAGTAATTAAATATATTTTGGGTGTAAGGGATAACTAAGTTTTGGGGAAGAAGGAGTTAAAATTCTTAAAATATAGATGTGTGAATAGCAAAAGATATGACTTAAAGTTTTCTTGTTCAGGGTACTAATCTAAATTTAAAGTTGAGAGTCTCCAATTTTTAAAAGTGGTAAGATGGTTTATTTCTATTCTACTCTAGTTTTTCACAAGACGACTCATAGTTCCTTCTCCTTGGATTGAACACGAAGGCAAGCAAGTTTCTCAGTTTAATTCAACTAAATGTAAGTTGCTTTTGTGTGTCCACCCCAAATTACTTCGCTTTTGAAGAAAGTATCAAGCATAATTTTTTCAACCTCAATTTAAATTTTAAGAACCAATGATAAAAAAGGGCACAACTGATAGATTTTTAGTTGTTCTCTCCAAGTGCGTTCTTTGTTTTCAAATCATTTATTAATTCAGAATTTTACATAATTCTTCCTTTTTGTTATTGCTTTACTCCTGTTCTTAAATCTTTTTCCTTTCATAACCTGTCTTCAACTGGTTTAATTTACATACGCAACTTTGCTGTGGGAATGCTGGTAATAGTCAAGTCATCTACTTCACTCCTGATACCTGCACATCTGACACTTTCTGACTGCTTTCCTGCCAATATAAATACATGGGGAAACTGAGTTCCATATGTTTCTACCCTTACCTGCCACATAAATTCCTCTTGTCCTCTTAGTGTCCTGCTAGTTCATTGTCATTGTATGTCGGGTTGTGGCGTTTCTCAAGTTTATTTCATTTATGCCATTATTAGATTTTTTTTTTTATTAATGCTGTTGTTATTAAAGTGTATATATAACCATCGTAATGGATGGTAAATTGATTACAAGCTGGACAAATATCAGCTATAAAGTATTGTTTGCATTCGGTATAGTTCTGTAGGAAACTCTTAAATAAGTGTTTAGGCATTTTTGCATAATTTGGAAGAGGCTAAACTGTTGCATTTTTTTATCAGGGAGATGCAGCTTGAGGGTAGTGTATTTCCAGTTGTCAATTCTAGAATCGTCATTTCTTGGGCAGAGAACATAAGCCACAATCCTAGACCTGGGAAAGTGAGTGGTGAAAGAAAATGGTCTAATATGTTGCTTAGCTGTATAAAAAGGGGGCAGTGGGAGATTCTTCATCTTTGTCTTCAAGTCCAGACTGCATGATTTTCTGGAAACGTGTTTTACTTGAACACAGCCTGTTTGGCTAAGCATAAACGGAGTTTATTTTAAATCTCTAATATAGAGGAGGCTGCAGGAAGCAAAGATTTGAGCAAAGTTGATGCTACTTCACTAAGCTTTTTTTGAATAGAAAGGAACCAAAATTCTCTATCTCAGCTATAATAGTAACCTTTCTTCAGTACTCCATTCTAATCTATTCCAAGCTTTGATGCAAAAATTTTGTTTAGTAGTATTAAATATTCTAATTTACTGCTGCTAGTTTTCAAAATTCTCTATGCAATGCATGCTTAAATGTAAGCTCTTATCTGTTTTTCAGCCATAGATTTGAATAACATTTCTCCAATTGGAAGACAGCTAACTTTGCAGCCTGGGAAAAGCAATGGTGGGTAAAAAGCAATGTCTGAAATTGCAGGCTTTCTCTGAAGCAAAATAACCCATTTTTTTAATGGCTATTTAATTTCAAAAGGGAACTATTTTTTTGTTAGTATTCCAGTAGAAGTACTTTTTCTTGAACTGCATGGTAGTATCAATTTTAATATCAATTTCTCATAGTAATTTAATTCTATTATACTCTCAGATTTTTTCTGAAGTAAAACCAAAAGTCCTCTGTAGACTGTAGAGTGCATTTTTTCCAACTCCATGTATGTACTTTTTCTGAAAAAAAAGTGAATACAAGCCTCAGGTTTATGGGTAAATTACAGCTTCGAGAAACCTTTAATGTGTTGGATCATTTTGGGTTAGAGTGTCTAATTCTCTGCCAAATAAATAGCTGAAATCTTAAGACATCTTTTAAAATATTTCATTTTAAATAAATAGGTAGTGTTTTTCCCCAGTGTATTTTGATGATCTTTTTCCCATTTCCTTTTGAATCCTTCCTTTCTTCAGAGACCTCTCTCCTCAGTTAAGAATGTCTCTCTAGAGGCTTTTATGTTACAACCTTTGGTTTTTTATATCTAGGCCTGAGTGTGCTGTCAAATCAGAATCCTAGCTTTAATTAACACTTTTCCTTATTGCAACTGTAACTTAAGTAGCTCACTTGCAATGCAATTTGAAAGCCAATTTTTGCTTCTGCAGATTTAGTAAAAGGTCACTGCAAGCTAATTTTGTTGGTTTTATTCATTTCAGCTGCTTGTCAGACAGTACTGTCCTTGCCAGTGGATTTTAATTTAGAGAAAATACTAGGTATGTTGTGTAATATCTAAATTTAATTATGAATGTCTAAATAGAAAACTTGGTTTTGTGTTGTTTGCTGAGGTTTTTTTGTCTTATGAAATATTGAAAACCTGATGTACAAATGGAAGTTTTCAGTATGTGTTCTAAACAGTTACTGCGTGTTACATGGGACATCTGACTTAAATGTGATTTGAGTGTAAACATAAAAAGAGGAGGGATATGGAGGACAACTGGAAATGGATTAACAATTCTGAATGCGTAAAAGATAGTAAGGAGAAGACACCCTCGCCTCCCCCCAAATAGAGCAGTAATTTAATAGAGCTGTTTGATGTACAGATTGCTGGCCATGAGGCTTCTAGCCCAACTTTGCCTTGAGCAAAGCTACACTATAATTCTCAGCTTTTAATTTAATCGAAGCCGTGGTGGTGACGAGAAGTTGTGTGGTGGCAGTAAAGCCATGACCGCTGAGTGGGGAGACACAAGTCCAAATTAACTGTCTGATTATAACTGCTGTATCAAGCAATTACTGCCAGCTTCTCAGGCAAAGAGGCTGGAAAGGCCTGTTCTTACAGCTCAGGTGTGGGAATAGTGGGTGTAGCCAGCTCAGAGGTTTTTGGCTGCATGCTCCTATCCCAGTACTGAAGTGCACAACCATGATTTTGGGCCATCAGAATTAAAACAGGAAAACAATCATATCTATTGCTTTAGTGTTTTGTCTTAGCAAATATTTCCATCAGTGCATAGTTTGTGAATTACTGTTTCTTTCACAAGGAATATCCAATTAGAATAGAGCAAGAGCAAAAAACTAAAATAATCTGTTAAATCTCAGCATATTTTAAGGGGTCTTTGTTAACATCTCTATGCTTTTCTACTGTAAACTGCTAACTGCTTTGACTTTCTTCGAGTTGAGTCTGGGTTGCCCTTGGATGTATCATGATGATCATCAAAGCATATGGGAGACCTGAAAAAGGGTCTAGTTTTGCTTGGGTAGCATAATAACCCCCTTGTCACCACTCAGATGTGAAGAATAATAGAATTTTGGAAAAGGCCAGTAAGTAGATGCTAGGCAGTATTTATTATCTTTTTAAACGCAGACTTTAGTGTTAAAGGATGGTAGGCAGAAGTAGAACCTTGGTAGACAGAGCAGATTTTTGTAATTATAACAAGTGATTCTTTGGAATAGGTACCTAAATTAGATTAATTACTTGCTGTATTGGTAGATTGGATTAAACATTTTAATTTAGTTATATAGGTCTCTGTAGTGGAAGATTTATTTTTTTGTCTTGCATTCTTACTGAAAATTACTTGTCCCCCCATTTCTAGGTGAATATTTTAGAACTGATGAATTTGCAGATCAGTCTCAGGAAAATCTGAGCTCTTCATCACTCAGAAGAAAGCTGTTTCTAGAAGAAAATGGGAGTGTATCTGGGTGTTTGTCCCCTTCTCTACATAGTTCACGTGGTAGTCAGCCACTTGGAGTGCTTTGTTCAATAGACATATCTCCAGTCCGATGCAGAAGCCCTCTGGAAACATCTAGTTCAGTAAGTAGCCTGTTCTGGGGGCTGGGTGGAATGTGACTTACCTGGCACAGGAGGAGTTCTCAGAGCAAGATCTACCAAGTCTGTGTTCTAACAGACTTCACCAGAGGAACAACCGTGTTTTTAATAAGCTACAACTGCTTTATGACAGAGTAGGTGTTAGACCAAAGGGTGGTGTGGGTTTGGTTTGGTTGTGGTTGTTTTTTTTTTTTTTTTTTTCAAATTAATTTTAAAAAAGCACAAAAAAAGTCTTGAAATAATATACTACTGACTTTTTAATACATCAAATTATTAGGTTGTGCTGCTATTCTTTTGTATAAAAGGAATTATGCTTTCATTTTGTTATGAATAGGAAGATAGGAAGTAAGAATGGATACATATACAAGACCTTCTGAAATCATGTTGAAACTATTTTTTTTTTTTTTTTTTTCATAAAATGCGTACACCAAAAAGGCCTATTTAAATCCATGAACTGGCTAAAATACTAGTTATAGCTCAAATTCATTTATGGATGTGGAACTGGTGGATCTTTGAATGCAGTGCTAAATATGCTTTTTTCTTTTCCATTGACCAGAGATTTCAGATGAATAGACATTTATTAGAACACAGAACATAATGTCTTCTTTAAATTAAGCAAGATGAACTGTATTCCCAGATGGATATAGCACAGCTACACTGGTTTAGGTGGTGTGGTTTCATCTATTTGGTAGCTGAAGTGCATGGAAAAAACTACCTCAGCAAGAATGTGGTTTAAAAAAAAAAGTCTTCGCTATGGTAACCTAGTAAAGAAATCCTACAACATAATTAATACTGCTAGAAATGATGTTTGGTTTTGCACCACACTCTTAGGCAAGATCACAACCACTATTAAGAAAAAGTATGTTGCCTGCTGCTCAGTTAAATAACTCAGATAATACGGATTCCTTTAAAATACAAATAGTGGCTGGCTTTCATCTGCATTGCTATGCGCAAGAAATTGCAATTAAATACTTGACTATATATACAGATAACATTAATTCTCTGTTAAGGCTTCTCATAGTTCTTAAATATAATGGGTATTATAGTCTTAGTTGGTATTATGTGACAGTTTGAGTCCATTGCTCTTTTCCTGTGTGGAGGCATAAAGTCCAAGAAGTGAAGAGCTGCAACTGGAATATTTAAGATAGAGTAATGATACATTATTGTACATGATTAATTTCCTCAGTGCTGCCATATTAGGCTTTCTAGGTAGAACACATTTTGATATACATAGTAGTCAATGCTTACGTTATGAAAATAAGCCTTTCTTTGGTTTTGTTTTTAACTGAAGGGTCAGTTTTCATCAAGTCCTATTCAGGGAGGAACAAGGGCTTACAGTCTGGGAAGTATAACCAGTCCCACATTTCCAGAGGGGTCTCCTGTACAAAATGGTTCTCCTACTTTTTCACCAATTGCTTTTCACATCAGAAAGACACCACTGTCAGGTATGGTTTAATTGTATATATATTATTCTTTCTTGATTCACGTATTTTTATTATAAAAACTGCTGCATTCTTACTGGAACTTGTTTCTGTTTGGAGACGAGTTACTGTGCTTGGCAGACCAGCAGTCTCCTTCTATATGACACATTTACTGTTTAGCAGGGAAATATCATAATGATGTGAAACAGTGAAATGTATCTGCTTGCAAAAAATCAACTAGGGAGAATATTTTAGAAGAAGGAATTGAGAGGAAGGAAAAAAATTAAAGGAATAATCAAGTGTGAGAAGGGGGGATTAAAGCCATATGCCTGAACTAAGTTAGGTCACAATTCTGATTTGGCCAAACCAGATGCATTTTAATTGGACAAAGAATGTTTAGCATGAGTTTTCAAATCATGTGAATGCAAAGATTATTTGAAATGCAACTGACTAGTGAAGAAATCACAAACATTTTGTGTCCTTGTTGCTGTAGAAAATGTCAGTATTTCATGTTTCATCCATTACCCAGTAAGACTTAATGCCACGTTTGTACATGATTTTGCTCTTATGAGCCTTCTGTTTTTTTAACACTGTTATATGTGGAGATTGTATAGGTGCTTTCTCCCTTCTTTGATTTTCTTAAACTTTATTGCTGCCCCAAAATTTTTAAATGCCTATAGAATATATGTATTGATATTTTTTGGGGAAAAAAGCCACTGAACCAGCCTTCACAGTTTCCTTTGAACACTGTGTAGTATTGACATTTGAAAATGCAAGGCCTCCAATACACCAAATCATGTAAAAGGAAACAAATTTAGTGGTAAAAATGGAATAAAAACCTGCCTTTACCATGGTAGTTTAAATGTGCTGGTGGTTTGTGGGGTGTTTTTTCGGGGGGGGGGGGGGAGGAGGTGTTGGGGTTTTTTGGGTGTTTTTTTTTTTTGTTTTCTGTGTTTTTTCTTTGTTTTCTGTTTTTGTGTTGTGTTTTTTTTTTTTTTAATTGTATTCTGGGTTTTTGTGGTTTTGTTTTTTTTTTTTTTTTTTTTTTAAGAAGGTCTTGGAGCTGGGAGACAGTGGTCAGTGAAATACTATATAGTTGGCTATAATTCTTGAAAGGACTGTAGGGCTTTGAGGATGATGCCTTTAACTCCACCTAATATCTGATAGAAGAACTCCATTGTTTTTTACAGACCAAAGAAAATTCACATTTCATTCTCCAGATATTCCTTCTTCCTCAAATAGAATGACACCCCCAATTATGAGAAGTCCTTATATAGATGGTTGTTCCCCGATTAAAAATTGTTCTCCTATGAGGCTTGGATCATGTAGAGGAACTGCCCAGTATCAGACTTCCGTCATTAGAATACCGATTGCAGTTGAGAATCAGAGTGAGGATGAGGAAGACAAAGAAAATGCTTCTCCAGCAGAAGCTCGGTTCCCAGAAATGGATAACGGAATAAACTTATGCCAGGAAGATGGTGATTCTTTTGCACGTGGTACGCATCTCGTGGTAGCAACTGTGTCTATTGCATCAGCTCACTCAGAAGCTTGTCATCAAAGGTTGTCATCATTTCAGGATATAGAAGGCTCAAAGGAAAATAATACTGTAGATATGGCTGACGCAGCTGACGTGTCGGAGGAGAACACTTGGATAAAAGAAACAATTGGCAATAGCAATGCACCAATGACCAGCTTTATGACAGGGATAACTTTCAGCATTGAAAACTCTCGCATGTGCATGTCGCCTCTGGCAGAAAGCAGTGCAATTCCTTGTGACAACAGTAGTATTCAGGTAAAAATAAAAATCTTTTGCTTCTCTGGAAAACTGAGATTGACGTACTAGCTTTTAATATGTAAACCATTCTGGAAGTAACTGTCTGTATTCCTCTCATCGGGTGTAGCACGTAGATGGTATTGGGACTTATTCCTGTCCCCCATCCATTTTCCTCTTAGTGGAGTTAGCATAGCATTTATAAATTATTTTTGTGTTACTGTGTACAATAATGTATTGAACTTACTCCAAACCAATTCTGACAGACCCATTTACAATTTGCTTTTGTTACTAACTGATGGTAGTTGCTTTGTTGGATTAAGTTCTGTTAATTAAATGCAAGTCATATAATGTATGAGAATCTGAGAGGTTTGTTGGTGTTAAATGGCAGTAAATATTTAAAGCCCTGCTTCTTGATTTCAGGTGGACAGTGGTTATAATACACAGACTTGTGGAAGCAGCATTATGGATACTGCGGGGGCTGAAAACAGTTGCAGAGAAAATGATGTGAATACTAATGTGTTTCAGAATAAATCTCAGCTGCTTAGAACAAAGGTAGGAGTTAAATTGTGATACAAAAGTAATAGGCTTCCCATCTAAAGCATCTGTTCCCTATTTTATGCAGTTTCAGGAAGCCTGAGGGGAGAGACTGCCAGGTGATAACAGAGACCATGTTAATGTAGCCTCTTTTCAAGTATTATGTTAAAAACAAGAAATAAATGGAGGACGAATATAAGCTGTCAATAAAATTAATGCGTTCTATGACAACAGCAGAGGTAGTTTCAGATGAAACTGACGTATATGCATGGAGGGTAGTTGTGAGAAGAGCCAAGTTGCTTATGGCTTCTGATGTATTGTAGTCTGTCTTACTTTTGTTTCTGTTGTTCTTGCTGCTGCTTTTTATTGTTAAGTTTTTAAATGTCTGCCTGTGGATAAGTAAATTTTTTAGGAAAAGTTGTCCCCTACTTTTCATAAACTAGCCTCAAGTTTCCTAGACCATACCTGGCATACTCATTTGGTGGGGAACTTTCTGCTTGGGTACAGGCTTTTGATTACAAGCCCTTTGACCTATCTTAAAACAAATTGCAAAAGATAATACATATCTAGCAAGACTCCCAAACTTGTAATCTTGTGACTGATGGGAAGGAGTTCTACTTCTTCCACAGTATGGGAAGCAAGGCTAGTTTCTTTGGAGGAGAGAGCAAAGATCATTTCTTCTCAATTAGTAATTATGGTCTTACAAACTTAGTAGCTTATGGTCTACTACTTAGTGTCATTCACAGTCCTTGAAGAGGAGACAGTACTGATCAGTAGTACCAATTATAAAAAAATTCAAGTAAGTCCATTCAGCCCTCACTTCACTTCTGCATCTGACATGCTAACAGCCCCTTCTTTGCTAATGTAAAGAGCAGATTGCTGTTGTCTTATAGACCATTGACATCAAATTTTGAACTCCACTCATTCAAGATTGGGATAACTGTGCCCTTACAGGAAGATAGATGGATATTTTATCTTTAACTTCTAAAAATACCTATCTACTCTGAGGTCATGCCCCAGTCACCCTGTTGGACATGGATTATACATGTGAATATACGCACTAGGATCTGTTGCCTAGGATCAAACCTGTGCTAGAGACTCACCAGTGTCGTGCAGCTGTCTTTTCCCATTGCTAGTCTTCCAATTGCTAGATCCTGACTAAGCCCAACTTTGTATTTTGGATTAAGATTTAAGCGTGGAGGCATTAAGTGCTTCATTCAGCTCTCACAACAGAGAACCCACAGAGAATGCAAATAAAAAAGGACGGATGTTGTCGGCTGAAAGAATCCAGTCCAGCTCATTCAGAGCATGTGTGCTCTGAAGGGAGGTTCTTGCTGACAGCATGTCTCAAAGATTTGTGCAGAGAAAACTATCTTTCATGTCCTTTTCAGAATGGGAGAGATGGGAGGCTAAGGTACTAACTGTAACTTGAAATTTTCAGTAGTAAGTTTGGATCTTGTTTATTTGTGGAATTTTTGTGAAAATGGTTTTAAAATTAACTTTTCCTTATTAACCTAGGAGGGTTCCGTTTTAAACCATAAGGACAATCAGTTGCTGAAAGCAAAATCTCCAGAGAAGCAATCCTGTTTCCAAAAAGCAAAAAAACATAGTACAGTATTTGGTCAAAATACAACTTGTAACATTTCTGCCTGGAAACATAAAAGTGAAAATCAAGTTCAGGGATTTCACAAAAATGGTATGTAGTTTTCTGATAGAGAACTTAAATTGTGTTGTCTAATAAATTTTTATATATATGACCTCAATTACATAGATTATACATACATTGCTTTTTTTTTAATGCAAATTTAGTAAATTGTCTGGTATATATTAAGAGAGTCTTTTAATTATGTGGGATTTTTCAGGTCTTACCAAGAAATTTACTTGGTACTTATTGGTACCATTAAGTGATTGCTTTGAAAATTAAGGCAGCTAGACTTGGTGCAAAGAAACCATACTGTTTTTTCAGAATTGTGTTCCTTCTGTGATTAGGGTAGATTCCATGAGGAGCCTTGTTTTGAAAGTTTGGACATAACTTCAGCTTCAAGAGAAGTAATTCAGATAAATAGAGCAAATCTACAGTAATTTGTGTAGGAGCAAACGTAACTGCAAAAACACATACCTTTTAAGACACAAATTGTAAAGGCACAAGGGAAACTCTTGGAGGGGACAGAAAAAGGAAAGGAGTATTAGTTTTGATTTGGATGGTTTTTCCTCTGATCAGATTTATTGTGTGGCTTCAGGCATACTGGCACCAAGAGAGTCACTGGACAGAAGTGAACTGCAAGGGGTGTGACAAGAGCCAGGCTGGGGTAAGGGGAGAAGGGTGGGTGTCAGTACCAGACTAAAGTAACAGGGATGAAACTCGGCTATGACTTTCACAAGGAAAGAATAAAACTTCTGTGTTATAGTAGAGTGCAAACTGTTAAAAATTGGTGCTTTGATTTTTAATATCAAGCTAGTCCTTTCAATTGTTTTCCTTGTGAACAGCTGTATGAAAACACCATTCTAGTTATGCAAATCAGATACTTTTCCACAATAAAAAAGCTTAATTCTCTTATTACTAAGTTTTATGTCAAAAGAAACCTTTCAGCAATCCTTTGTACAGTTTTTCCTTGGTTTGACAGGAAACGGCATATCTGTCAGTTAGCTTTGCCATGTACTTAGGTAAAATGTACTATTGGGTACTTTAAAATTAAGTTAGTGTTGTTTATGAAAGCAATTGCATTAGTACTAATCTTGAAGTTGATCATCTGACTCCACCAGTGTCTCCTAAGATGACTTGTGTCCACACTGATGCTCTGGTACCCTTTCAAATGAACCAAGAAGGTGCAATAAGGTTAACTGGTCTCAGTACATCATTAAGATAATGGTGCAGCCTTCCTTCCATTACAGTAAACCAGTACACTTTTACTTCCCTCTTAAGTCCCAATACTATTATGTTGCTTACAGAAATTACCAAAATATTTAGATAAACTTTTAGAAATATAATTAACTATTGCATGTCACTTTTTGCAAAACGTATTAATATAAGCAAACTCTTGATTCTTTCAAGAAAACCACAGATGAACTAAAGTATTAGAGTGGGGGAGGGTATGGAAGCCCACAACTCCCTTTGCCTGATCAAATCAGATCTGGTTAAATTTGACTGGATTTCTTCAAAAGAACCTTCTCAAATTCATAAATGTGAAATATAGGAAAAAAATCCATATGGTAATTTTCTAGCCCTAGTGACTAAGAAGGGAAGAAGAGAGAACAACTGAGATTTCAGGGCTCTGTGTTTGTAGAGCTCTGACGTAAACTGTGTTGGATTCATCAAAGTCCATTCTAGTATGTGCCCCCCCGAATGAGTCTCTCTCTCTTTCCATAGCGAGGATATCCAGTCCCAGGACAGTGGATGGAGGTTCTGCTTCCTATTCTATTCCACAGCAAAGCTCACACCAAAGTGACAGACTGTGGCTGATGAGTAGCTATTGACACACTAAGCCTGAAACAGTTGGTCAGACCTGAATTTGAAGGCAACTGACAAAAATTAAAAAAAAAACATCTCAGAAGGGGAGGTATGAACAGAATTGCATAGCATTAAAAAGCAATGTGCTAGACCTGAGACTTGTGTGCAAGTCTTGTATGAATAGAACAGTTCTTGCAATACTTGCGTTAATAGTTCACCAGTGACGGCCTTCTGAAAAATATACTTAAAAAGGGAAACTTGTATACCATCAATAAAGCATCATTTGATTTTAGTTCTCACATTGCAGAACTAGTAATTAAAAAAATTACTTTAGATTTCTAACCAGCAAAAATGACAACATGAATTATTGTTACTTCCATAGCAATTTAATCAGTATTTCTTTAATGTATACTGGATTGAGAGGAATTGAACCTAATATCCTGAATTATCTATTTCATGCTCTTGAAACAGTGCCCTATTAAAAGCTGGAAATACACTGAATTGGTAAGTTCTAGGAGATGAATTTTATTAAAGTAGGGAATGACCTTAGACTTCTGGAAAATTAATTTATTGAAGAGGGCCTTCAAAATGTTCTTAGCTCTAGCTTGTAAGGTTTGTAGCTCAAAAGCAAGACAGAACTTGTCTGAGATTTAAAAGTTACTTATGACCTTGCGTAGTTTCTGTTTCTCATGATAACTCCCTTTAACCATAATCAATTGAAAGGGTCAATTTCAGATTTCTGGTCTGTACAAAGGATTTATTTTTGCAAGTGTGATTACTAAAAACAGTAGGAATGTTAATGTAAAGGGGAAGAGGAGAAGCAGGAACAGATCCAAATTAGGATCTGTTTGGTATGATATGTATAATTAAGATTTGGTTTAATTTTTTAAAATAAAATTTTTTAATACTTTTTAATATGTTCAGTGATTGGAGGGCTTCATAGTATTCATAAATAATGAAAAAAAATCACTAAGCTATCTAATTGTACCCTGTGTAAGTATTTTCTTAAATGTAAGAGAAAAGGAAGAACAGAAATAAGGGAATATGAGAATTAAGGGTCACCCTAATTAAATTGCCTGTATTCTCTGTCCTGTTTTGTAGTCTTCAATTAGGTGGGAATTATTTATAACAACATGCATATTTTTAGTATGTTTGTATAATTGTTTTGTAGAAGAAACCTACTGTGCAAATTATTGTGGAAATCATTTGACTGTTCTGTTTCTCGAGTTGTACTTAATGCATTGGTTGGCACATATTGCACAAAACTGTCATTGTTTACATTAAATTAATTCTAGTGGTTTTAATGAGTCTTTTAACATATGTAAGTGTAGTGAAACAGAATAAAAAGACATCTCTTTAATACCTAAGATGCTTGAATTTTTTTTGCTACAGTTTGCAGCATCTTTCATTGGTGTATATGTATGGGCAAGCTTTTTCCCATACATAGTTAAAAAATTGGTTTAGTTATTGCAATATACAGTGCTGAATTAGAAGTGCTGTAGCAGTTATAGACGTGCACAGCACTGGATCTTGAAACTGAATTTTACTGTTAAAGCCTCCCAAGTCATGTAGAACAGTGATGACGGGATTCAAACATCGCATTCATAGGATGTAGGTTTTCTCTATTGCACTTAAACATGTTAATTATCTCCTCTTGTTGCCTTTTATTGATAAAGTAAGTATTTATTTGATCAAGCCATTTACAAGGACAGCATATAGGAAGCTGAGTGAATAGGGCCAAGTGACAACCAGATCTTGATCAACTGTGACCCACTGATTAACCAAGAAAAGCGCTGACAAGTGGCTCGTATAGAAGTTCATGAGCTGTAACTTGAAAGCTGTCTAAGGAATAGCTTAGCATATGGGGTTGCAGTTTCTTGCCTTGAGAGCTGGGAATTGGCACTAGCAGAATCTGTCTATGAGAACTACTGCATTCCCAGGTGCTGTGGAGGAGAGCTTTACTGAGATGAACTTGCAGAATGCAATAGCAACCACCTCGGAGGTGCTGTGGTGGGAGTTCAGCACTGAGCCAAGGAGCACACTTAAAATTACTTCAGGTCTCAAAGCACATAAAACACATTTTATGACTACAGAGCCAGGTGATGGAGCTTGACTATAACAATGCAGTTCAAGGCATGAAACACTTAAGGGTTCTTTTTGAGAATTCTAAATAACTAGTAATTCTAACTCACCAGCATCTTAACAGTGCAAGCTAGAATGATTCACCCCAAGACTTGTCATTACACAAAAATCCACAAGTAACACAAACATAACATGGTTTCCATCTTTTTTTTAAGGCAGTTCATCAGAGGCTAATTAATGATTTCAAATTGCCTTAAGGTCCAGGACAAAGAATAATGCATTTTTATGATATGGTTTCTCTTTCTGCCTGCATATCTTGTGTAAATATAGACAGCTGATCTGGTGTGAGAGAGAACTTTCCCAGAAGGAAGTGTAAATCAGGCTGTGGCATTTATCTTTCAAGAGTAAATTCTGTTATGACTTAAGACCTGTAACTAGCACAATTACTTCTTTCAGTTCTGACACGCTAAAGAGAATGGACTTAAGAGACTGACTTTTGTCAGGCTCTTGTGTGGCCTTAAGGTTGTTAAAAAAAAACCAAACCGACCTACAACTCTTCCTTCACTTTGCAGAAGCATTTATTTTCACTCACAAGAGTAAACTGTAGACATACCTGGTTTTAAAACTATGGTTATGCACACACATATTCTTAAAAAGTTTGTTTTTTTTTTAAAAAAAAGGCAGCTTTACAAATGATTAAAATGTGTATTTAAAAGTAAACAAAATCTGTTTCTGGCATTTTGCCCATAGGGAAATATATGTCAACACAAATAATTAAGTGACTTCCTATTAACCTTTATATCCAGCTATTTCTGTAGCTTCTTTTTCTTTTTCTGCGGTTCATTCTTGCTGCTTATCTCTGTAGACAGGCTTGCAGGCACATCATCTTCTAGTATCTACAGTAAGAAAGGAATTAGAAGTCAGAACACTTAACTCATCTGAAGCTTATGCTATCCTGATAGCACTTGAGTTCACTTCTACAGACCTTTTACAAACACTATCAACATCAGAAATTTCTGTTAATAGTAGTCATCTGGAAGAGGGTCTGCCATCATATAACTATCACAGCTAGAATGCTCAACTGAAATAAAATCTGGAAAAAGCTAAGGGAAATACAAGCAGCAGCACCTCTTCTGACTAAATTGCCAGCAGTTCTTTTGCAGCAG